TTTAGAATATATCTTTAGATCTAAAAACTTAGAAACCGATTTACTAGCTAAATCAACTTTCGCATCTGTACCATCTTGGTCCGGTTTTCGACCGGTTGAATACAAAGAATTAATTTTGCAATCAAAAAATTAAATAAAAAAATTAGAAATAACAGGTTTTAATTTTTAATTTTTTTTTATTTTTGTCACAGGCATAGTCCGTTAATTGGTTACAAAAATACAGAAGTATAATAAGGGACCGATAACATGCGAAAAAATCGAGTTCTTGAAGCGAACGTTTCCTAGCAAATAGATCCGCTTGTGTATTTGTTTTCCTCGGGCGGTTTTATTGTTGTTGTATGAGATAAATAATGAGATATGAATATTAAATTATTGTTTGACGACAAAAAAAAAACAATTATTGTTTAGGAGCGTCGTCGTTGACTTTGAATCATTCGCAAAAAGAAGAGGGTATATCGGTAGCTTCAGCGAAAATGCGTGAACATGGTTAGACTTCGTCGTGGATTGTATGAGTGGACCCACTTGCGGATATTGATGACATGGCGTTGAAGCTTCGGTCAAATTTGCCGGTCGAAAAAAAAATATATATATCTTAATAAGTTATTAGAGAATCATTCATTTTTTTGTCATATGAAAAGATAATATTACTAAAGACAGAATGTTACAATCAAGAACAAAATCGAAATTGGGCATACCCAACCGAGGCTAAACCGAAACGGATTCAAAATTCAAGAACCAATAGCCCAAAAAAGGAACACAGGGCCCTAACCTTAACCCGAAGGCAAAGTTAAATCCAAAGAATCAAAGCAAGGAAAGACATCCAATGAACACTGAAGTTACACAAATACGAACACAAGCTCACCAATACCAGAACCACACGGCAAGTATGTAAAGACCGAAGCAAGGTAGCCACCAAATCCACGACGGACAGAGGTAACACTACGCATAAATTGAAAGAGCCGGTGCAAACCATGAAGAAAATGACACCAAACAAGAAAAAAACAAACCATCCACTCGTTGAGTCTTGTGTTACGTATGATTAGAGAATCATTCTAAACGGAATAATTTCGCTTTAAAAATCTTTTTAAAAACAATAGTCAGTGCATGGACCCATTTTTTTTTTCAATTGAGTAACAAGTAAGTGACGCCAAGTTAAATCTTCTAACCGGAAGACTAGAAAAACCCAATATTAGGCCTAACCGGTACCATTTACACCCATTTAACCTGATTAGCTCAATTTTCCAGTCTTGAAACAAAGTGCTTAAACCATACGGTATGAGTTTTAGCGGTAAAAACACGGTGGACGTTTGCGGAACAACTAAAAGTTATAAAAATTTGTGGTAAAAGAATATGGTAAAAATTTAACATTTTTTTGTTTGTTTGAAAAAGGGCTTTCAATTTAAATACAAAGGTAGCTATTACAATAATATGATCGTGAGATCATATAGTTTAAGAGAGTATTTATGATAAAACATAAATATTAAACAAAATAAACTCTAACGAAAGTTACAGAAATTCTAGAGAAGAAACTTCCTAGGAATTTTTAAAAAGATTGTTCGTGGTCCATTGCATCTCTTGAACTTTTTGCGTAGGTTTGATCGACCTACCGCCTCTAGTCTTATGAGAAGCAACACCTATCTCATAACCTGAATAATCTCCCGAGTCTAAAGCAGCCAATGAACCTATAGAAGGGGATGAGAGCGTTACCAGATTATGAGGAATACTTGTAGTTGTAGTGGTTGTGGGAGAAGAGCTACATGCTACATTGGAGGTAGATATAACATCAGTTGGGGGAGCGTTGGTCAAGGCCAATGTTTCTTGGTAGGAGTTAGCGTTTTCTAACGTAGTTGAGGAAGACAAACAATTTAAGTTGCTCGTAGCTATTGGTGTTGATGGTTCAACATCAATGAGAAGGGCAGAGACTATAGCCATAGTAGCAACATGAGAGCCATGAACTGACGTTGGAGAAGTAAGGACATGAGAGTCATGAGCAGAGGTTGGATCCTTAGTAGCAACAAGATCAAGTGAGGCAATAGAGGTAACCTTTGGTGTAGCACTAACAATTTCAGGTTGACGAAGAAGGAGGCACCTAGATTCTTTATGGCCTAATTGTCCACATCTCCCAGATTTATATGGAATCCAAGAGTACACAACTCCAACCATTGAGAGGTTGCCTTTTAAATCTGTAGCTGCAATCCTATGCGGAAAAGCTTTATCTAGTTCTACTTCCACCATTAGCTTTGCCTCACCTATTAGAGTCGGGTCTAACCTTGGCTTGTGAGTGAGCATTGGTTCCCTTAAATCTGAAGCTATCCAACTAGTTCNCCACTCTGAGTAAAGACAAGCTGGTATCTTTTTCAAAGTAACCCACACTGGAACTATAGTTATCTCTGGCAAAGCTAAAGAAGCAGCAGGAGTCCAAGGACCAACAAACATAATGCAATCATCAAAATGCCATAACCCTCTATGTAGAACCCAATCTCTAGTACTCTTATCAGGGATATGAAACATATAAGAGGATTCTCCTAAATTTACCTTTTTTTTAAACTTTAAAAACTTTTTTGCTATCACTTTTATTATTGTTTACTATAAAAATAGTATATCTTGTATTGTAACGATACAAATTTAGCAATCAAATCCATATATTTAATTTAGGGAAATTGGCAAGTATAACCAAGAAAAAAATGAAAACATAATTATTAAGCAAAACCTGTAGGACCGAAATTGGCACACTACGAGATTGGAGATAATTGCGATACGGAATACGTTAAGGGAAGAG